ATCTCTCCATGGACCCAGTAATCCTCCATAACAAATTTGGTGAAGATCTTCGAAGTAGTTACATGTACATACAACAGATAGTACTATTTTATTTGTATAGGTATGATTGTATCACGTTGTGATAATACATGTTGTCAACACGATCTTCGTTTCATGTTGACATGGATATAGTCGCCATCAGTATCTACAAAATATTAGACACTAAAACTAAGAGATAGGTCCTTATTTGTACTTGAAACTTGTAAAATTATTAGTGGCTAAGACATAATTAGGAAGGATTGTAATAGAATTTTCAAAGCTTGTATCATTCTAATATCGTTACTTGTCTACTGTATAGAATGTACAAATATAATAACAGTGTGACGTAATATACAAGTTGATAAGTTACGCAAACCGAAAAATAAATGCCACACCATCAGCACTTTATTAAACATAGGCCTAGAATTTGTGATAAAATTCACGTAAACAGCAGATGTCCCCCCCCCTTTCTTAATCTGCCCGTTTCGGTTATAAAATCAAATGCATGTAAAAACAGCATATCTGTCTTTTATCTCCAAGTCCAAGCAGCAGTCATTGCCCAAGAGGCCTTTCCTCCGATACCAGGATTTGTCAGTTGGGCTTGACTACTGACTGACTCAAGTATGTATACGTGACACTCCCCATACTTCGTGATTACTGGAATCACTATCAGTACAAAGTCATCGCTATTTGTGTAAGTACATAGTTTAATTTTGGAACTACTTATATGTTCTTGATGTGCCCACTGTCCATTTGGATGCAGCAATGAAAATGTAAGAGACGCCGGACATGACTTGCACTAACAATAAAATAGAATGACCAGTACGGTAATTACTACACTCGTGTTATTTGGCTTGTTCTTAAAGAAACATTTGTTTTATCGAACAACTGTCACGTGTTATTCAAGTGAGATTTCGATTTTTTGAAACTTTTATGGAATCTTCACTAGAATAAATGATTAAACCAGAAAATTCGGTGAGAAAAACTGTCGCCTAGTTAGTTATCTGGTGCTGGAGAACTGCTGTCTAAGCCAGACCACAACCTACAGTAATAGACCCGAAATTAAATCACGATACAAGCTGAAATTTAAGCGTCACAAATGGCACTGATAACATAATTCTACAATAAAAAAACAATGATTCTCAATCTAAATATACATTACATGACGATGCTAACAATATAGAGCTAGTTACACGAAAATATATACAATAATACTTTATTTTACTTCGTTACCTTTGGTAACCGCCAAAACAAGCAGGTTGTTTGCCGCGAAGTGCTTTCCACCTTACAATTGTTACACCTGGCTCATAACGCAGCCGTTCTTTCTAATAGAGGGCCCCCAACCTTAAATATACGAGTTGGCCTTGCGTTATTACAAACTAGAAAAGGTTTTACTCACCAAGCTTGCTGCCAGTTTTTCTCTTCACCCTTAAACAAATGGTCCTCGAACGTATACACTGAAAAAAAAAAAACACTGTTTGAATCGTAAAAATACGAACTTCGTAGTTCACTCAAATCAACAACAACGTTCGCGTCACAGGAAACTCAAACATACAATAAAGAATCTCCACCAACAGTGGAATGTAACCTCACCACTATGAACTGGTTGCTCTAGGGGAAAATTATGCCGGAAGTAGGTAATACCCAACTGATTCTAGGGGGTGTTTGTGTGTTAAAAAGATGTATTGAGGTTAAAATCGTTATTATTTATTTTACCGATTTAGAAATTGATAAAGAATAAGTATTTCAGTTAAAAAGATTCAGTATAATCAACGTCTAAATTACAAGAATAATAAAGGAATAAAAATATGGTAATTTAGTTGTTTGTTTCGTGGCATACTGAGGGAGTAAAGTTTTCAAAATAAATAAAAAAAGACCCAACTTTCTTTTTAGGAAATACCCACTTATTTATTGACAATTATAAAGTTCTTGAAACAGTTGTTGGTGGGAATATGACATTATTTTTTTTTCAGCAAAACGTTTTGCCTCTAAAGTTGAGACGTGATTGCGTTTACTATTTGAAATACAAGCATAAGCACGTTCATTAATTCTACGATACTTAATGTATTTGTTTGTTTATTGTTAAATTAAAAGTCACACAATGGGCTATGTGTGTTCTGCCCACCGTGAATACTTTATAAAAAAAATCCGAGTTGTCAACAGGCGTAATTCCATCAAACATATCATAATATTCCACAATCTCGATAATACGTTTTTTGTAAATTCACGAAAAGCTACACAAAGAGTTGATTACCTGCCATATTCATCTCTAATTTTGAACCGACAGACTAGAGCTAGTCAACAGCACCCACCGCCAACTCTTGGGTTATTCTAATTGAATAGGGGGAATTTAACCGTTACTCTTATAGTGCACTCAGGGGACACGAACCAGATCATTCGGATTAACAGTCTGGCCACGGTAACTACTAGGCCACGTCTGGCTCAAAACACAGTATTAAAAATATATATATGGAATATATTTTGGAACTTTTCCGACTTCCATTGCACTGAATTTTCTAATGAAGCACGGTATTCCCCCCCCCCCTTTTTAAATTTCACATAGCTAAACGGTGAGATACAGCTGCAGAAATAAAGCAGTGAATGTCGGAGAATCCCCAGGATTTATCCCAAATAATTTTGAATACTGTATTTTTAGGGTTAAACTAGAGAATAGTGTGCCTGGACCGTGAATTCAAGGGTTCGTTGTTTGCCACAGATTCTATGATTTATTGCACACATATAAATAATATATCATATCGTTGGCCTTACGGCACAACGTAAAGAAAGGGTTACAGTAGTTTCAAGTGCTTTTAAAAGTATAAGAAAAAAGCAATACATTGGAGGTACAAAATCCATCTGAAATTACTTAAATTTAAAAGGTAGTGCTTTCATAACATTAAATAAAATATATATTTTTTACAAATCGAGTCTTACAGATGTCGCTTTTTTCGCGCGAAACGACTACGACTTCAGACGGCAAAAAGACAGATTGTTGTTGTTAACAGCTTACTGTATGATTTCTGCGCAAGTTGTTAATAAAATCTAAAGTCTGTGTGACTTAACATAGTGTTAATCATAATTTTGAAAAATCTGTAACTGGTTATAAATTAATTAGTGCTTATAAATAACCAGAAAGTTTAAAACAAACACATTCTTTATAATTATTCCCATTTACATGATAATTAAGTAAAATGAATCATTTTTCACGATAAAAGGTGTAAATTATGCAATATATGTTAATTAAAATTTAATAAGTATACTTGGTATTGTCAAGTCTATTTGATTGTTTATTTAAGAGCGAAGCCACGTTGGGATATCTACTGTGTCCACTGCGGGGAGTCTGATTTTAACATTGTAAGTCTGTAACCTTGCTGCTGACCCACCGGAGTGGGGGCTGGTATTTTTAACCTGAAAGACAACACAAGCGTTAAACGGGCTCGTCACAAGTACTACAAAGTTTTAGCATAATCATCCTTAATTCAGAACTGTTTTGGTTGTATGCTGTTTAGCATAAAGCTACACAGTGGGCTATCTGAACTATGCCCATCACGGGTATCAAAATCCGATTTTTAGCGTTATAAGCCCTCAGACGTATCGCTGAGCCACCAGGTGTGCAAATTCAGAACTAATGACCAGAAGGAGAACAAGTTGTTAACCAGCCAGCAACACTCGCCGTCTAGAGGGCCACTGTTAACAGGATTGTTGTCACGTTTAAAATGTGCCCACAGCTTCAGAGATAGAGCGTGTTCAGTGGCACATCCCAAACTCGAGCCTACTGATACACAGTCCGTTAAGCTAAACACTAGGTCAGATCAAGCCACTTAATAAGAAAGATGAAAGTATTTCTGTCTTACACAAGAAACTCCCATCAATATTTAACACGCGTAATTCACATGTGAGGATAATTGATCTCTACAAACTCCCATCAATATTTAACACGCGTAATTCACATGTGAGGATAATTGATCTCTAGAAACTCGCATCAATATTTAACACGCGTAATTCACATGTGAGGATAATTGATCTCTAGAAACTCGCATCAATATTTAA